TGAAATTACACGAAAGATTACATAACGTCGAACACTAAACCACACCAGGATTTAGAGATACCCAGTTAAGAGCAACCTAGTACAACCAAGGTTTAATCCAGAAGTCGAGATAGACGAGAACAATGGAGAAATAACAAGAAAATGATTATCCAAAACATGGCGTATGTCCAACAGATCCAGAAACAGGAGACTTAGAACTCAAACATGTGAACCCTAAAAAACTAACCAACGATGGACTTGAACTTTTTTGACAAAAATCAAATCCATTCTTCTTCTTAGTTTACACGATCACCTCTGACCGACGTCCCTAGTTTCACGAACGATGACTAGATCTCGTAGCTCTGCTTCGGATTCGAGGGGAATAGGGATGCAAGAGGAGAGCAAGGGCATCTTATAGCGACGAACGGAGGTGGGGCACAGCGCACCGGGAGTGGAGGCGGCGTGGATGGGAGAGACTGACGGTTCACGAGGTGGGGAAAAAGTCGGTCATGGTGCGCTCCCTACGCGAGCTTAAGCAGAGGGAGGATAAGGAAGAGGGGAGGGGATTTGCTCGGCGGGGGAGGCGTGCGGGCGGTCGTGTTCCCAAAAGAAGAAAAAGGAGAGGGGAAGTGGGGTGATAGGGATCAAGAGCCGACAGGGTGCCAGGAAAAAGGGAAGCGCACAATGCATGAGTACGGTGGATGCGGCATAATGCCGTAGTCACACGAGAACGGGGTACTAGTGGACCCTGACACTGACGGTGTACCCAGGGCATGCGACAATAGTGACCTGGCATGCGTAATGCGGGTGAGCTGGACACAGGGCTTGGGACTTGACATCCACTCAGGCTCTTCCAATCACTCCCGACTACCCGAAGGCTAACTTTTCCTTGTTGTTCTTGTTTTTCTTCCCTTCCTTGTTAACAATATGCACCAACCTTTTGTATGAACTGAGATCGCAACATACATGCTTCCTCCAAAACACATCCTCTTGGTTACTTTGGGGGAACACTATTTCATCAACCCATTGTGGATTTCCTATCCGAACACCCGAATATTTCCAAGAAGAATATTTTGTATCAAGAGCGGTATGGCGGTGTAATTTGGCAAAGGTACTTGGTCAACAACCTCGATACCAGCACGTGCCGAGCAGCGCCACCATGTGGCAGTTGTTCCACAGGGGGCCTTGGTTTTGTCGTGGCACCACAAGCTATTAACCAGACAACTATTACCAACTTACACGCAATGAAGGCGGTGGGGTCATAGACCATAGAATCAGAGGAGTATTGCAAGGAAAGATTCAGACAATAAGGGTTCCTTTCGCAACAAGAGACAAGGAATTCAAATCCCACAACAGATTTGATTTAAAGAGATTCAAGTGTTCAGCTGGGATATCCACAATTAGTTGATACAGTGCCCTCTATTATCCTATCATGGCTGGTCTGCTCGCACCTAAATAGTAACTTCTCTTGTAACCCACTTAACGTCGTCCTTGAAAACTCTAAGCACGTCTAATGAGACCTAAGGGTAGATGGACGCAATAAACACAACGAAATAAACAAAATACACATTCCAAACGTCCTTACACTGGTATAACGTACAGGCACTTACTCTCCCACTCTCGACACATTGCGTGCCTCCTATGACCAGATGATCATAACAACTACGGACGAAATACAATGGAAGGATTACACACTGGAGGATAGGGACCTACCACCGTGCTTAAGAACTCAAGCAAGGATCTAAGTTGGCATAAAGAGGTGTCAGGGAGGCTTGCTCTTGTTCTTTAGCAAGCTAAAGAGAGCTTAGACCCTAGCCATGACACGGTGAGGTTATCTCCACGGTCTTCTCCACCTTCTTCCCTTTTCCACACTTTTCTTCACAATCTTCCTTCTGATCCAATCTTCTTTGTTCTTTCTTAGAGAGAGGGGAGGAGACCAAGAACGAAGGGGGTAGGGGGAGAGGTTCTCTGTGTTAGGACGGAGCTAACTCATGATATAGCTTGGGCCCTAAGGAGTTAAGAAACATATATAGAACTCTCCATGTTGCATGTTTTAGGTGTCACTGGTTGACACTAGACTATCTGAGGTAACATGTCAAACCATCTAACGATCATGATTGACTGATTTGATTGGACTTTGTTGACTACTGATGTGGCAACACCAGATTGTCTGAGGGATTTCGTTGGACCATTTGACACTCCACAGAGAAGTTAGAATCAGCTCAAATTAACATATGTTTTTCAAATAAGTTTAAGGGAACAATGATTCTTGATGATGATGATGATGCTTAACTCAAAATGCAACTAGTTTGTTACAACCTCTATGATCATTCATCAAGCTTGGTGGCCAAAAATATGGAACCCTAAACCCAACACTAGACCTTAACTTCTCTAGGGAAGATTGCAGCGTCCACCTTAGAAGTCGACAAGTTAACCTGTAAAAGTGAATCTTCTCACCAATCAATCTTGAGGTTACAAATTAAAATCATCCCAACCCCTAAATTTGTTATAAGATATCTACTACTATTCATAGTAGTAAGAGAATAAAAACAACTAAAAACTTGCTCGGAACAAAACTAAGAATTGCAATCACTTTGTAGAAGTTGGTGATTCTTAAATTTCATTGTACTATACCCAATCTGATCACATGGCTCTTGACATCTATAAAGGTCAAGTGCACTATCATAAGTGTTATGTGATTTTGGTGGTTGAGTCATAACATGTCCAATAGGACTAACAATGTTTTCTAATAAGTATACAAGGGTTAGGTCTCATTGATGCAAGGAGATAAACTTACACTTAGCCTAAAACATTGGACTATCCAATAATGAATGACGCTCAACAGGGCCAAGACCCTTCCTAAGATGGCAAAAATGGCATGAATGCCGCATTGGACAATCCAGTGTTCACTAGTCACTACGATGGTCCATTGGATATTTTGACAACATGGTTGAGTCAACCAATGGCTAATGCCATTACTCTCACCAAATGATCCAATGATGGCATCCGATGTCCATGGAAAATATAGCCAAAGATGCAATGGTTAATTTTAAGTGTTAGGCTATATATATGTTTGTACGGGTCATTTGAAGGTGTCAGAGGTTGAAGCCATAAATGAGGATCCCACATGTATTTGAGAGCTCTTGACCAAAGTTGTCGAATACCATAAAAAGGGGTACCCTAAGTAAGAACCGAAAAAGATTGCTTAAAACCTCGCAAATATCAAAGCCAAAGGACAACGACAGGGTCTCGACCGATTCTCCGACTCGCCTGAAGCCCGCGTCGCAACGATTCTCCGCCTCGCCGAGGCCCCCTCGCCGAGGCCCTCTCGTGCCGAGGCCCCACTCCGTAAGGCCTCGAATGGGTTACCGATTCTCCGATTCACCCGAGGCCCCGCGAGTGAAGCCTCGGACGAAGTACCGATTCTCCGACTCGCTCGAGGCCGGCTCGGCAACAACCTCGTCGCCTCCGCCTCGACCGACTTCTCTGACAAAACGTCACGCGTTCAACCACTCCCGCGACGTCAGCCGCACGTGGGCACAGTACAGCAGGGTGGCCGACGGGACGTGAGACAGGACGAAACAAGGGTTACTGGCCACTGTGCTCAGCACTGCACCCATGCCTGACGCCCGTACTGCACTGTGCTACCTAATTCCTTTTCTAGGAGCAGCACGGCGTGGCGAAGCAGGCACGGGTCACTGTAGCCTCGGAGTCGGTGCATGAGACCAACTGCTCCCTCCAAGGCCTCGGCAATCCACTTCTAGGTCTCGGTAGCCTCGGGATTCGCGCCAACCGAGCCCCCCACGATGGCTTGGCCTCAGCACCAACTGAGCCTCGGCTCTTTTCACCGTCAACCCATAGCGACCAGCACACCGTCGGCCATACCCTGCGTCAAGCTGTCACTGGAGCGCCCACGTCATACGAAATCGGGTGTGACCAGCGCGTTGCTCTAGTACATCAAGGACAAGACCACTCCATTGACCATGCCGCTACAGTAGTAAGCTATAGGACTCTAGCACGCCACCTCCGCTCGCCGCATGGCGAACACATGTATCACCCCTGTCCCTCCTTCAACTATAAAAGGGGAGACCGGGGCCGTTCTTAGGGAGGGGAGGCACTCACGAGATCACGGAGATAGGCTCACATAGACACACGCTCTCCCAAGCTGCCTGAGAGCAACGTCTCAAGCAGCCCGCACCGCTCCACACCGAGACCTGGGACTAGCTCCCTCTCTCACCCAACTTGTAACCCCCTACTACAAGCACTTCGGTGCAAGGAATACAAGATCGATCTCTCATACTGGACGTAGGGCACCAATTGCCTGAACCAGTATAAACCTTGTGTCTTTTTGCATCACCATCCGGGATTAGGGGCACGCAGTTCACATTTACTAGTTGGTTGAGGATCCCGGTCCGAAACACCGACAAAAGTGATCAAGAGAAGATTAAGGCAGCAACCACATCGCTTATTGTTTGTTTAGTTCTAGTCTAGGCCACCTAGCACATTGCTTGATTTAGGTTTTAGAATAAGTATATAAAGGTAGTATTGCGGGAGTTTGCGTTCTCTAACTCATTTTACTTTCGGGTTTACTTTGGTGGATCTTTTGTTTGAGTGATTCTAACTTAACTAGATTGCATGTATAGTTGTTGCTAAGGTTTTAACATAGGATAGATACAAAACTTTGTGTGATAGAGATAACAACACATAAAAAAACTTAGTGCATATAGCAACATAGAATTTGTGTAAGTTTTTAGTTCTATAGAAGTTGTATAGAACATAATTCATCCCCTCGTAAGGCGCCATGGTCCATTGAACACCATCTGAACACACATAAAAAAAAAAAAAAAGCAGTAGGAAGAAATTAAAGAAATCCAACCACTTGAAATAAGGAAAAACGATAAAAAAAAACTTCTTTTCTCTCACTCAGTCTTCTCGTCCATGAAAATGGAAACGAGGTAACGAGCACGCACTTCTTAACCGCCTTGGACATCATCATGTAGCTGCACCTGCATCGCCGCCATTCAACCATTGTTGTTAGGACAATCTAAGAATGCGATGCCTCGAACCCGTGGCATTGTCCCAAAGACGACGTTGTGTGGTAGAAGGCTCTGCATGTGAACTGCTAGCCCTTCACGATGTCCAAAGAACATAGGCCTCGAGCTCGAGCTGCCGAACCATGACCAAGGCCGGACACTGTAGACTTTCTTGGCACAATTGTAGAATATAATCTCCTCCACTTCGTCGCCTCCGACGCCCCCTGCCAACAGCCCGACGTTCCCAAGCGCGCTGTCGAGCCGAGAGTTGTCCCAATGGAGCGGCGACGGGGAGGGCGAGTCCGCCGCCACATCAACCATGTGCCTCAGACGCCAGTCCTCGGCCTCGTAGTCCTCCAGCACCCACACCGCCACCGTCGTCGCCGCCACACCGGCGAGGAGGCAGAGCTTGCCTGCCAGCGTGCTGATGGCTCGCTGCTTCACCGCCGCGGCCTCGCCGTCGCCGTGCAGGTGCAGCTGCGGCAGCGCCATGCATCCAAACTCCTCTTTCCCGGCGTCGAACACCAGCAGCTTCTCCCTGTCGTCGTGCCAGCGCTTCGTCTGCGACCGCGCCACTCGCCAGTGCAGGCGGCCGTGCGCGGTCGCGGAGCTCTGGAGCCTGAGGCGGCCGACGACGGTCTGCAGCCTGGCCGTGTCGGCGTCGGCGGAGATCGGGATCTCGCGCCAGGCCGTGCCGGGCGCGTCCACCGTCAGTAGCCGGAAGCGCGGCGTCTGCTCGCCGACGCCGGCCAGGACACTCCCCGAGGAGTGCAGCAGGTGGAAGACGCCCGTGACGGGGTGCAAGTAGGCGCCGGCGATGTAGCCGCGGTCGGAGCGGCTGGCCCCGGGCTTACCTTTACCACCGCCACCACGCAGGGAGGGGCGGAGACGGCGGTGCACGCCCTGGAGATAGGGTTGAGGAGCAGGTAGGAGCAGGGGACGTGGTGCTCCACGGACGACGCCGGCGGCGGCCGCACCCACATCTCCACGCACAGGACCCCGTCCCACGACCTCATCGCGCCAGATATGCTTGGGTGGCGGGCGGTCAAGACGAGACGGAGATCGCAACAGCGGGATGATGCTGGGCGGCGGCCATGGCTGTCGTCGTCGTCGCCGCGGGGCCGGGACTGGTGGTGGATGCTGAGGTGGACGGTGCAGTCCCTCGTGCTGTCTCGCTCGGTAACCGTGTCCGACCACGTGAGGAGGAACGGCGAGGCGGCCGTGCGGTCGGCGTAGGCGCGGAGGAAGCTGGGATCCGAGGCGAGGTCGCGCCAGGACCTGCACACGGCGCGGGCACGGCAGAGGCACCGGGCGGGAAGGCGGAACAGGATCTCGCGGTGCACGTCGTCTGTGAGCTCGAGTAGTCCGCCACCATTGCTGCACACAGTCCAATCCTCCATTGGTGCAAGCGTTGGAGTTGCAGGGAACGGTTTTTCTGTTGCCGCTACAGAAACCAAGGTTGCTTCCTTCCGCTGTCACCTGTCAGGATTAGGTACTTCTAGTTGGTTGCCACGAGCAGTCACGTCAGGAATAATCCAAGTCTCCAAGATGATTACGCACTAGAGTCCAACATGGCTACGTAAGAACATATGCCGTGCTGTGCATGATTACGCTATTTTCATTTTTCTCTTTTTTTGTTTCAAAACTTCATAATGTTTGTAGCTTTTTTTTTGTTTCAAAACTTCATAATGTTTGTAGTAGTTACCGCATCATCTATTAAATGATCAATTAAATAAAAAACTATCAATTAATTAATATATGTGGACTGTCTAGCTAGTGATTCGGTTGTTTCTTGGAGGACGTTAACGCGCGACGGGTCGTCGTCCTCGTGCCCGGCCTCCTCCCCCACGCCCTTTCTCCCTCCCCGTGCACCTCGTTTGCCGCCCCCTCCCTTGCCGTCGTCCTCGACCCTTCTCCTCCTCGTCATCCACACCCCCGCCGTCGGACACCGCCGCCACGGGCTCTAGGGCCCGCGGCGGCGGCCTTCTTCCCCTCCCCTCTCCCGCGACGCGATGGCGAGCTCCGACGCGGCGACCTCCTCCGCCATGGTGCCCCTGCCCCTCCCTAGCCCGGCCACCGCGGGCACCGCCAGGGCCCCTAAACCGCCCGACCTCCTTCTCCACCACCGGGCCTCCTGCCTCCCCCCGTCCGGGCCCTTCTATGCCCGGCGGAGTTGGGAAGGAGAGGGGGAGGAGCTCGCTGATGTGGGTGGGGGCGCGGGCGCAAGGAGGAGTTTGCCGGGGGAGGAGGAGGAGGACCTCGCCCGCGCCGTCGCCTCCGCCAGAGGGATCGCGGGCGCGGTTGCAGGACAGCGGGAGGGAGAGGGAGATGCGAGAGGTGAGGGGCGTGCGAGGGCGGTCACGTTGAGCGCAACCCGTCGCGTGGTAGAATTTCCATTGTTTCTTAGGCCTCAGATAGAGTATTCCTAAGTACCTTTTCGAAACACATTCCATACATAGACTCTCATGTACGTGCACGAACACATACCTTACTTTTATAAGTAGCTGCGGAAGACTACACTGGATCGGCAAATCTTGAAATTGACGAACTCAAGTTCAAAATTTTAGCCCATTTCTATCATTTTTGAAAATTTTCTGTTCTACCGGTGACCTTGATAAGTTTACATACTGGTAATTTTGGTTTTATTTTATATTTCTTTATCATATTTTAGCCAAAATTTCATAAAGATTGAAAAAATTCGACCAAAAATTGTGGATTTCTGCGTTTTCCTGTCGGCTCCCTCAAGTATTTATGTCTCAATCGATAGTCACCACTAAAAATATATAATAGTGTCTTGAAATTTCAAAATAAATTCTAAAAAAATACAAGCATCCATGTCAGATCGATGACTCAAATACAGGTGAACGAAACCTAAGAGTTGAGAAGCTACAAAACAACCGACAACAACAAATAATCTTTTTTTTAGGGGAACAACAACAAATGATCAAATCGAGTGTTTCAACTAGTTTGGACACACGATTTTCACATCATAAGATACAAATTCGACGCACAGTTATATAACCAAAAAAAAAGACCACACCGCCTGCATTATCATGTGTTCACACGCATATGGGCCTCGGTTCACTGTCCTATGCGGGCCGCATGGTTAAAACGGTCTACTACTGCTATACACGACGTTGTGTTAAGCTATCCGGGCCTCCACGATTCACGTTCAAATAATTGGGCTGAGCCAAAAATTAAAATTACATGCATGGCAGCTCATAGTGCAAAGCTCAATCATCTAAAACAATATTACAATAAAAAAATATATCCACAAAATATACCTAGCAAATAGAAACAATGCAACTACGGAGCTAAGAAATGCGAACATATCATATTGCAGTAGCTTGATCACACATCTTCAGACTTCAGGCCTGGCGCCATTGGGGTCTTGGGACTCGTCCTTCTGGTGATCCCCTTCCAACAACAGCTTTCCCTTCTCTTCTGTCTTTCCCAGTAGCTTCGCAACAATCCGCAGCACTATATTTACCCTAGCCACCGGCATTTCCTTGTCATCTCTAGATACAAACCTGCTCAGTAATTCATGAGCTCACATGCATAGCATACTATTTCAGCGGGATTGTGTACTAATTTCCCGCCAAACATGTTTTGTTTATGGATTTCCAAATGGCCCAACAAACAGCAGCAATTCCAATATGAAACTGATTTCCATTGGGAAGCCAAGTTTCACACCATAACTAGCATTGTTCAATAGACTTAGTAACATTATCAGCTCCCACACTCATCACTACTACAACAATCTTAACCGAGGCGGATAAAAAGCATTAACCGAGGTGGTTGTCCTCCGCCGAAAGGTCACGATAAATCGTGCCTTAACGGAGGCGGTTGGCTGCCCGCCTCGGTTAATCGAATAAAAAAACAAAAAAGCCCGCAGCCCAACCAGGCTTGGATCTGGGCCTCGCGTCGCCAGATCCGCCGCCGCCGCTAGATCTAGGCCCCCCGCGGCCGGGAGCAAGCCTTGCTCCGCGCGCCGCCGCAGCCGGGGGTGCTCGATCCGCCACCGCCTAGATGCTCGTCGTCGGTTGGAGATGCTCACCGCCTCCTGGAGGACCTCCACAGCGCCGCCTCCATTGCTACCCGTCGGATCTACGCCCGCCGCCACCGCGGGTCGCTGGATCCACGCCCGCCGCCACCGGCTGCTCGGAGGTTGGGGGAACGGCCGACGCAGACACCACAACCAGATCTGACAGCCTAGAGAGAGAGAGAGAGAGAGAGAGGGTGAGAGATGTACTGAGAGAAGAGAGAGAGGGTGAGAGACATACCGCCAACTCTCATATCCATGCACGGCCGGCCTCCTACTGGCCGGATCCGGGCGCGACGGCCGGCCTCCTCACCGGATCTGGTTGCCTGTAGAGGGAGCGGTGGTGAGCGCCGTCGGGAGGGGAGCGGTGGTGAGCGCCGCCAGGAGGGGAGGCGAGGGGGCGCCACGGGGGAGGGCCGCCGAGTTGCCCGGCGCGGGAGAGAGGGAGGGGCACTGCCCTGCCTGCGCACCATGCACTCGGGAGAGGATGGGGCCGACCGCGCGCCGCTCGTGAGAGGAGGGGAGGGGGTGACGCGCGCTCGGGAGAGGAGGGGGGAGCCACACGCTCGGGTGAGAGTGGAGGCTGGGAGGGAGGGAGAGAAAGACTAAGAAGTGAGAAACCCTAAGTTGTAGTTATATATTCGAGGTGGCAGTGGGCTGGTGTGGGCTAGTGGGCTGGGCCTAGATTAACCGAGGCGGTTGAGTTAGAATGTCCGCCTCGGTTAATGATTTACCGAGGCGGTTGCGTTAGGATGCCTGCCTCGATTAATATATATTAACTGAGGCGGACCTGTTAGGTTGCCCGCCTCGGTTAATGATTTACCGTGACGGTTGCTGAGTCGGCTGCCCGGCCACAAATAACCGAGGCGGGCAACCGGCCCAACCGCCTAGGAGGCTAATTTGGAAACGCCTCGCAAAAGATTTTGTGTAGTAATGCATGGCTATAATAGCCCACACAGCTTTGGCAACGCTGCACTGAAACAACAAGTGAGAAACAGACTCATCCTCATCACACAAGTAGCATGTTGGTTCTCCAGGCCATTTCTTTTGAGCATACTTTTGTCAGATTACCATTGTTCATTATACCATCCACAGCAAAATTTTAATCTTTGCAGGAACCCTACCTTTCCAATTTTTCTCGTGATAAGGACATTTAATTTGGAAATTTGCTGTAATCTATAATCAAGATTTGTATTTAGATGCGGTCAAAAAAAAAGATTTGTATTTAGATATTTTAAAGATAATGTTGCTCTCTTATGTATCTTTGTAATAGTGAGGTTGCCGGACTTACAAACGCTATGCGTGTGCGTACTGGGCGATGTTTGGAAGAAATACATAGTACCACCGGGGGTTATTTTTGCACAAGTTAGATTGGTCAATCGGTGATGACCCGTTTTAGGGCACGTTTGTAATGTCTGTTCTAAAGTTTAGTGGCTAAAGATGAGCACTATGTAAATTAGACCACTTTAGCTCACTTATAATTTTGTGGAGTGGTCTAAACTTCAGGCAACACATCTCCTGTTTGAAGCCACAAGAGCTAAAGTGATCTAAATTTTAGTAGCTAAACTTTAGATCATGGAATCCAAACAATCCTTTAGTCGAAATAATTTAGGTGTATGGTTCCTCATATCTGCCATAGAGTTGTAATCTATTTCTATACATTTCAGCCCTTTTTTTTTGCCTGGCCATTCAAATCTGCCCCAACCGTCCCGGTTCACTTGGCCACGTCCGGCCCACTCCTCACGTCCTCTCGTCGCCCCGAAAAAAAAAAAAACTCCCCGCGCCGCCGCCGCAACGCCTCCGTGGCTCCGTCCCGTCATCTCCCCGCGCTGTCGTTGTATCGCTCCGGCCCCCACCGTCGCCGCGCCACCACTGCTCTTGGCTCGCCTTCTCCCCGCACGACTGCACGGCATCGCCGCTCCCCCGTACCACCACAAGCCACCAGAAAGTTTCCCACGCAGGGCCAATTCGGCGGCGGAGGCCCACGGAAGCCGATCTCCAGCTGCAGTAGCACGCGACACTGCAGTGGCAGGGCGAGTTGGCCGTTGCTCGTCGTGGCGGCGGAGATGCCGCGACGGCGGCAGGCCATGATAGCACCACTACACGAGCGGCGGTGGAAGGATTTTTCTGGGCAAAGGAAGCGCTAACGGCAAGGGAAAAAGAAGAGCATGGCCTTGGCTGACTCCATGGCCGATGGCCGCCATATATTGCATCGCCGGATGCTTCATCGGCACACTGAGATGGAATTGGAATCGAATAGAAAGAGAAGAATTCCAGCTCAGATAAGAAAGGCCCCGGTAAGTTCAACACGAAATTCTTCTGTTTTTTTCCTATTTAAATATTAGAGATCTTTGTTCA